ACGACCATCGACGGCGACCTTAGGCGGCAATTGGCTCGACAGCACGATGTCATGATGCCAGATTCTGGCAAAACTAGAGAAGATTTTAAGGGCTAAGGATTTTCTTTTTTGAAGAGTAAAGAAAGTGAAGAAAAAAAAATTTGGATTTTATATAGGGTTAAAGAAACCCAAAACGACGTCGTTTTAGGCAAAAAAGGATTAGCGTGTGGCCCTAACTCGACCTAGGATCCTCGCAACCCTACCCAATGATCTGTCTTTCAACCAGCCATGAACTAGTTTAATTGAATCATTGTTCGAATCGCCTTCAATCGGTTCAATCGGATTAAACCACTAAACCAACTGAACCGGCATTGATCGAACCATTGATCGGTCTGGTTCATTTATTTTTTTGATTTTTTTAATTATATATTATTTATATCATTTTAGTTTTATTATTGTTACTTATGCATGTTTAATACCTTTAAATTTTTTTAGAATAAATATTTGTTGTCTCATAATAATAATTAATAATAATAATAATAAAATAATAAATAAAATATAATAATAACTAAAAAGTAATTATCTAAAAAATGATAATAAGAATAAAGTAATAAGGAAAATTTTTCTGTTTAGATGTTTGAGGGAATATAATCGTATTTTAAATAATGATAATTTCGCCTAAATGTTAAGAAATTATTAAAAAATAAATATTATTAATATTATTAATAATAAATTGTTACAAAATAAAAATACACAAAAAATTTTAAATTAATTAAAAAAAACTGAATTTGCTTTAAAAGTTTGCCTAGATGTTGACATTTTTAGAGATGTTCGTGTTCTTAAAAAATCAAAACCTTTTAAACTCTAAACACTAAAACTTTAAACCCTCCAAAGCTTAAAATAAAAACCCTAAACCCTAAAATCAAACCCCTAACCCCCTTAAACCTTAAACACTAAAACTCTAAACTTTTTAAACCCTAAACTTTAAAATCAAAACCTTAAAAATTGAAAACCCTCAAACCCTCCAAACCCTAAAATCAAAACCCTAAAACCTTAAACCCCAAAAAAAATTTAAAACTTTTAAGCCCCTATGACATTAAACCTATACTAAAAATTGTTTCGAAACTTTAAGGATACATGTAAAAATCTCAAGTGAAGTAATTTATTCTCAAATATCGTCAAGACAATGGTGTATTTAGAAAATTTTATTTCATTCAATTTTTTATACGAGTCCTTAATTCATTTTAACAATGGGGTTAATAACTGATAAGCTTTAATAAAAAATAATAATAAAATGAGATCTTAAATATGAATAGTCTCACCTAAATTTCGCCTAGATGTTAGAAAGTCAAGGTGGTCTCATTATATTTAATAATCTAATTTCAAATTTGCATTTCATCATCATACATAGCACCTATCGGCTTAAATGCATTTGTTTGTTATTGTTTGCATTTGTTTACATTTGTTTGCATTTGTTTGTCTTTAATTTTTACTTGCTATCTGATAATACCATCATTCATTTTTTTGCACAAAATGTTTTTTTAACAAAAAAATTACTTACTTTAAAAAAGCGAAGTTATAAAATAAAATAAAAATAACATCCCGAGAGGAACAATTCTTGATACTCTACCTAGATATTGAAAAATTATCAATAATTATCTTTATCAAATAATGTTGTTTTCATTTTTAAGGGACGTCATGGTAAATATCAGTTAAAAGCATTATTTTAAAGTTTTGCCTAGATGTTGGAATATTTTAAGATAATTCTTTAACTTAAAAATTTTTCGATGCTCCTAAATAATGAATTTTGATAAAATTAATTTTTTTTAAATAATAAAAGGGGATTATTATTAAATTTCAAATCGAAACCATTTCATCCAACATTGAAAATAGCTCATAATTAACTAGTACCAATTTATGAGCGTTGTAGAGGTGCTAATCTTTTTTCACGCATAATCGACTCTTGAGCCCAACTTGATTTTTTGTAGACTAAAATTTATCTTTTTGATAAATTTTAAATCTACTTTTATAGTTTTATTAAAAAAATAAACTTTTGGGTGATCAATCATATCCTAAAAAAGATTGATGATGACTCCTTTCATTTTTTCTTATTTTAAAATTTTTTTGTCTAGTGATCCTAAAATTGTTACGACACTCTTTTACTTCCCTAGCCATTTATTTGGATTCAATTAGTTATATATGAAATAAAAAAAATTCAAAGTTTTGTATGATTAAATATCATATTTTTTAAATTCAAAGTTTTAAAAGGCTTATCTATATTCCCTTACATCCAAAGTCCATTAAAGTTCTATTTGGATAGGCGGTGAAATTGATTACAGTCAGATTGAAAATAATAATAAAAATTATTGTAATTGTGATTAAAAAAAATTACTGTAATTGCGATTAAAAAAAAATTTAATGAAAAATTTATATCGATTTAACCTCACAAAAATTGACATTTATATTCAACTAGTGATACGATGAATTTAATCATATCACATCGAAAGTGCGATTGAATCTAAAAGGAGACTAAAGCTAAAAGAGAAAAAAAAAAACTGTTATAGGTAGAAAACTTATGGGACTCTTTTTATAAATAGTTGTATAGATTATCTTCTAATCTATGTTAAGCTTACACTTGGCAGGTGTTATCATTTTGCAAAATTTTTAATTAATGAAATGTTTTATCGCTATGGAATTATTTTGTAAATTAATTAAAATTAATGAATATTTTTAAACTATATATTTTTATAGTACTTTTTTTTATCTCAACTTATTTGAATGCTATTAATATTTACGAAATTTTATAAAAATTTTGATTTTAATATATTTAATGTCAAAATTTAAATTTTTTTAAAAAATTAAAATTTTATGATTTTTAATATTTTAAAATATAAAATATAAAAAAATAATTTTTAAGATATAAAAAAAGAGTTTTAGATATTAAATAGGATATAATTTTAAGATATCTAAAAAAAATGAACAAAAAAGGAAAGGGATGAAGTATTTCTTTTTTAATATCTTATTATTATAATAAATTTTTATAAATAAATGTAACAATTTTTATTTAATATATTAAAATATATTATATACAATATAAAAATAAAATAATATTATATTTCCATCATATAATGTATATAAAAACATAAATGTGATAAATTTTTTTAATAGATAAAAATAGATATTTATTTGTTATATTTTTAAAATGTCATTTGTCATTTTAAATTATTTTAAATTTAATATTTATAAAAATTAGTATTATAATAAATTAACAATTCTATTCAATGTTAACTTCTAATCCCATTCTTATGTTAATATTAATAAAATTTTGAAATAAAATTGTATTAGTCTTCAAAATTTTAACAATTTGAGTTTTATTAATGATTTAATTATGATTATTATTAAAACTTTCGTATTTAAAAAAAAAAATTTTGTTGAAACTCTTTTTCAAGTTTCAATTCATAAATTTATTATTGTGTTTATATTTTGATAATAATTTTTATTTTTAATTGTTCAAAAATATTGCAAAGCGATAGTAATAGTTTTCTTTGCAAATTATATTTATTTCTGAAGTAAATAAAAGGTGGTACTATTGGTTAAGATATATAGTAATGAGCATTTTTCTTTTTCTAGTACTAGGTTTGACTTGATAATTTTTTAAATAAAAAAAATAGTTACTTTTCAATAACCACTTTTTTGGCTTTTGAATTCATTTTTTTCTACAAAATCAAATTTTTATCATAAAATTAGAAAGTAAATAATTTTTTAAAATTATTTTTTATTAGTTAGATTGTTAATTAATAATTTTAGTTGATCCTACTCATATTTTAAATAATTAAGTTTTAATCCACTTTTTATCACTACCCCATTATATATATATATTTTAAATTAGGACACGAAAATCAAAGTGTAGTAATAAATAATTAGATCACCTTCATTTTTTTTTTTTATAGTTGTTGCATATTAAATTAGTGAGTTTTTCAACAACTTATATAATAAAGATGGTTTTGAGGTTTGGAGGAAGGTTTCAACTACTTAAACTATTTAATAATAACGAAGTTTTTGAGGTTATTTTTAGATTTGATAATTTATATATTTATATTATGTAAAATATTATATTGTGTTTTAAGCGAAAATTACATATTATGTTTTATGTCGACACAAAAATATAAAATATATTTTTTATTTTTGATTAAAAATTTAAATTATATTATATTCGTACCTTTTATTCGTATTATATTCATATCATATTATTGTGTCATATTTTAAATAATGAGGTCTAGATTTTTTCTTTCAATTTTTTAAGAATGATAAATTTCTAACCTATATTCTCCTAGCATTTCCTTTTTATTATCTTCTTTTAGTACCTTATTATTATGACTTTTATTGTATAAATAAATATAGCAATTTCTTGCTTAACATATTCTAATATATTATATAAAAATATAACAATAATGTTTTTAGCAACAAATTTTAATTATTTTATATTTTATTTTTATAATAAAAGTAAAAGAATGTGAATTTTAAATTCATAAATATGTATTAAAATATTATCACATATCTATTTAATTTTTATATAAGATTATCGTTCATAATAATATGCTCGCTAAGAGATAAAAAATGAATCCAAATTTGAGAATAAATTAAAAAAATTTAAAATTTGAATTAAAAAAGAATTTAAAAAAACTCAAATAAAAATAAATCTAATCTTAAATTATCTAAATTTGAAAAACAAAAACCTAAAATAATCTAAACTTTAAAAAATTTTAAACTTTAACTCAATCCAAAATTCAAGAATGGTTGAAATTTAAATCTTTCATAAATCTAGAAAAAGTAATTTGATTATAGTTAAAAAAAATTTTGATTAGCCCAAACTCAAACTTGGCCCAAATCTTAAAGGGTCAAAATATAAGAAGACCCAAATCATAAATAATCAAAACCTAAAATCGACCCAAACCTAATACCATAGGTCTCGAACTCCAACCCGGCCCGTTTCCCACCTGTCCCTTCACCCAAATAACAATTAAAAAAAAAAAGGAAAGATCGGCAGCCCTTGTTGCGTTTTTTTCCGACTTCGTTCCTCTTTCCCTGAAACTTAGATTTTCTCTTCAAATTCCCCAAAATTTTTCTACCCATCGGATTTGTCTCTTTAAAATTCACTCTCTGCAGTTTCTCTTTTGTTTACAGATTCATAATCGAACGCTTCGAGGGCTCCTACGACGTCCCTTCGGTACGTTGCTAGCTTTCATTAAAGGTTTTGCAAGTGAAATTGAAATTAATTTGAACAACGTTTGCTAGTTCAAAATTTTAGGGACTGCTTCTAGGGTTAGCTGCAATTTTGTGTTCAATCCGATATTATTGGCTAGGGTTAAGTGCGAATTTGTTCAATATTATTGTTAAACCCAAAATTTTTAATTTGGTATCGATCTGATTTAGAAAAAAGTTTAAAATAGGGTTAATCGACGGTGGGGTGATTGGCTTGGTCGATTTGGCATCGAAAACTGAGAAATGGCATTGAAGTTTCTGAACAAGAAAGGATGGCATACTGGAAGCTTGAGGAACATCGAAAACGTGTGGAAGGCTGAACAGAAGCATGAGGCTGAGCAAAAGAAATTGGAAGAGCTTCGTAAGCAGATTCACGAGGAGAGAGAGCGGTCTGAGTTCCGTCTTCTCCAAGAGCAAGCAGGCCTCGTCTCGTACGTCTCTTTCCTTGTTTTTTCCCCCTTTTGTTATAGGAAATTAGGGTTAGGGTTTTTTTTTTTAATTTCAAATTTTGATTCTGCAGGAAGCAGGAGAGGTTGGACTTCCTTTACGATTCTGGACTTGCCGTTGGGAAGGGTGCCAGTAGCTCTGCTGCTGGAGGCAGCGGAGGTGGAGGGTTTAAGGCTCTTGAAGAAGCCCTCCCAACGTCCAAGGCTACCGATGCTTCTGCCAAGCAGTCTTCTTCTGTCCCAGGAGCCTTGTTTGAAGACAAACCTCACTCAGCCAATGATGCCTGGCGCAAGCTCCATTCTGATCCTTTGCTTTTGATTCGCCAGCGCGAGCAAGAAGCTGTTGCCCGCATTAAGAACAACCCTGTCCAGATGGCCATCATTCGTAAATCTGTACGTTATTTATCTATTCTATTGCTCTTTTTTTTTTTTTTTGGGTGTCTTAGCAAACAAAATATGCTTTTTCTGATAGATTTCTTTGTGAATATTGTTGTACTCTAAAAAGGGCGTTGGAAGAGCCACCATCAATCTTTGCAGTTAGGATGTGCTTTGTATCAGTTCTATGAGAATAACTATTGCAATTGCTAATTAACTTATGTTTCTATTAATTTTGTAACAGGTTGTAGAAAAGAAACAAAAGGAAAAGTCCCCTGATCGCAAGGAACACCGGAAGAAGCATCACAGCACTTCTTCCAAGCATCGGAAGCATTCATCATCTAAACAGGATTCATATTCTGAAGAGGACACTTCTAAGGAGGACAAAAGAAGTAGAAAACATCATCATAAGAGGTCAGATTATGAGGGCCGCTATCGCAGAACAAAATCAGACTCAGAAGATGGATTAAATGAAACAGAAGGTCAAGAGATGAATCGTCCCAAGCAGAAATACAGATATGATAATCAAGATGCGGTTAAGTCGAACCATGACAAGTCTAAACATGATAAACATTCTACTCAAGCTCCACAAAGTATTGATGCAGATAAAAATCAAGAAAAAGATAGAAGGTCTTATGACCATAGAGCTACTGCACCTCGGAATGATAAACGACGGAATGTTTCCTCCAAACTTTCTGAAGAGGAGAGAGCTGCCAGGCTTCGTGCAATGCAAGAGGATGCTGAGTTGCATGAAGAGCAAAGATGGAAGCGGTTGAAAAAGGCTGAGGAGAACGATGCTCGGGAGGTTACACTGTCCAGCACTTCTGTTGGTAGAAACTTCTTGGATGCTGCTCATAGAAGCGTCTATGGTGCTGAGAAGGGAGGAAGCTCAACTATAGAAGAGAGTGTCCGTCGCAGGACACATTACTCGCAAGGCCGTTTTGAATCAGAAGGAAATGCTTTTAGACGCTGATCGTCGTCATTTTTTTTCTTTGCATTTGGCAATTCTGATAAATCCTGGTATGCTCCTGCAACTCCAGTCAGGGGCATGCTTGCTTCTGGCTATCGTAATTACATGTTATTGAAATACTAAGCTGAAAAAGAGTTATTGGGCCAAAACTGAATTAGATTTATCTTTTCTATTTTCAATTTCCAGAAGGCTTCCAATTAAGCTGGGAGATATCAGTTATAGTTGTACCATTGATAATTTTGTAGATCTAGTTAAAGTTTAATAACTAACTTGAAAATTTTATAATAGTTAAATAATTAATGGTGAAATTTGTACAATATATCAATCATTTAATAATTCTCGATAAAAAAATATAAGCAAGAAAATAATAAAATAAAAATAAAAATAATAGTTCACGAGTAATGTAGCAATTGGTTTTGACAGACACTTGGATGCAAAAGTGCGAAGATTTGAGATCTCATTTCATCTTTAACAGTGGGAAAAACATTGAGGCCCAAATAGAAGGGAAAAATAGAAAAGAAAAAATTGTAAAAATTGGCAACCCAAAGAAGAAAATCAACGGAATCAAAAGGCAGAGAAAATTAGGATCCACGTCATCAACCAACTCACCAACGTTAGATCAGATTCCCAATATTTCATCGCAAAATCCTCAGCTTTCTAACTGTCGTGAGTCATCCAAACTTGTCCATATCCTTGTCTTTCCTCGGCCGCCCCATTTTCTCTGTCTCTCTTTTTCCGCCCCACATCATCAAAACACGTGTCAATAAAAATATTGGTCCAACGTTTTTTGGTGACCTTGTGGTCTGGTGGAGACGTACGATGTGGCCCCCACTTTACGAAATCAATACCACCACCCCTACTACACACCGGTCACAGTCACAGCCCATTTCTTCTCATTAACCTTTTTTATCGTCTCATAAATTCAAAATATCCTTATTTGTTTTTTTTTTTTATTATTTTACCTTTATTTTTTTTTTCTCATTCTATTTTCTTTTTCTTCAACCAAACCCACTAAAGAATAAGAAGCAAAATCTTTTTCCTTCATTTAGAAAACATAATTAATTAAAATTTGTCTACAATGATCAAAATGGTAAAAAGTGTTATATTTAATTTTATTTTTAGATAATTATATTTCAATCACATAATATCAATAAATCTTTCATAAGTAAAAGAGAAAAAGAAATTATTACCTACATAAAAAGTTAAGAAAACAATCATAGAAATTAAAATAATTATTTTTATATTAATATATAAACTTAAACTTAAAATTAAAATTTCATAATTTCTTTGTTTTTAATTATGATTTTTTATAAAAATAATTAATAACTTAAAAGTTTTGAAAAAAATTATTTATTCTATTGTTTTAATTGTTGAAGACAAAACAAAAGTTGGCATGATTTTAAAAACAAAATTTGCCGACATTGCCAAAAAATCTTTGTGAGAGATTGAATGTTAAATGTAAATTATAGGCTTCTTTTGAAAAGTAGCTGTCAAATCACATTAGGGAAGACATAAAAAAAATTATCGAAAATCTTATGGCCAAAAAGATGTCCCAATTAGAGAAACAAAACAAAATTTGTTGTGATGAAAGCATAGAAAAATTGAATGGTTTTGCTTTAATTCCAAACCCGACTAAATACAATAGGACGTATTGAAAAGGTTAAATTATTGGACAAGAGAGAACATATCAAAAAGGGTTTTTTTTATTGGTTCGAATTAATTCCGAATCAATTTTTTTTAAAATTAATTATATTATATTATTTTTATTAATTAAATTAAATTTATTAATTTTAAAATTAATCAATTAAATTTAACTTGATTAATATTTTTAATTAATTGAATAATAAATGAATTTAAAATTTTAATTTATCATATTTTAAATAAATCAAATAAAATTATTTAATAAAATATTTAAATATCAAAATATTATGTTAAAAATTATTATAATTTACGAAATAAAATGATTAATTTCATGTATTTATTTTGTATTTAAATTATCTTATATTTTAATTAAAATTTTGATTAATTCAATTAATTAAAATTTTAAATCAAATTAATTAAAAATATACAATTTTCAAAACATTATTTTTATTAATCAATCATACCAATTGATATGTGTATTAAATTATAAATAGAAGATATATTATAAAAATGTCAAAGAACTTTCGTGATGATGATGATGATGACGATGAAAGTAATTCTATAGATATTATATTCATGTTTGTTCAAAACGTGAATTATAATATTTATTTTTTTAAATGTCAAAAAAATACTTACATTTAAAAAATAGTAAACACAACGTCACCTTATCTCTTTTTTCTTTTAATGATAGATAAATTAAAATAAAAAAACATTAAAATAATTAATTAAATTAAATAAATTTCATCACTCAATTCAATTAAAATCAAATTATAAACACCCTCCCATGAATATATGTAAGAGGACGATACGTTAGCGCGAAAATATAGTAATAAAATAATTGACAATTATTATTAGTGACAGTGAAATTTAGATTTATCACGAGATGAGTGTCGCGCACCGATTTTCATGTCACGATTATTAATATATATGGAAACGGACAGTCAAAAAACGAACCCGTCTCCCCACATCTCGTCTTCTTTCTCTCTAGCAGCTTATGTTATCTATGCACTAAAACTGCGCCGTTTTGAAGCTCTAATACCAATGCTCTCATTTGCGGTTTGCCCCATGTATCTCTTCCTTCTCTTCTATCTTCTTTCAGCGTTTTGATCAAAAGGTAAATTTTTATTCTTTTCTTTGTTCTTCCTTTTAAGCTCATATTTTTTTAATTAAGCTTTTTGGGCTTTTAAAGATGACATTTTTTTCTTCATCATCATCATCATATTTCTTTGCTTTTTTTTGTTTTAATTAAATTTTATATACATTGAAAAATGAATTTACAATAATTTTGTTTCTTTTAGTTGATAATTTAATGTGAACCAACATTAAATTAGTGTTATTCCTTATAATTGATGTTTAAAATATTTTGTTCTTTTTTTTTTTGGTGTCTATTCCTTATAATTTATTTTATTGGTTTTTTATTTTATAATTTTAGCTTTTATTTTAAGCATAATATCAATGGACGGTTGAGTATTTTTTTTTATGGCTGATTATATTATTTTAATAATAATCAGACTCCAAGATTTATTTAACTTATTTATTTAATTATTATTATTAAATTTTTTTTGTGGGTTTAGAATTATGGGTTTTTTTTCTTGTACATATCCTTGTTGATTGTTTTAAGATTTCCTTATCCTAGATTATCGGTAAGGGCAGGTAGCCGTTAAGAAACACTTTCTGTTGATACTTGTCCTGTTTGATTCAGTCAAGTTTTCTGCTTTGTTTATTAATTCATGTTAACATTCCTTCTAGGACTAGATTTTGACATTATATGCTGCAACCTTAAGATTCCATCTAGGAAAACTGCATATATTTGGATGAGTTTGTTACATATTGGTCTCCTCTGTTGATGTTATGAAGTTATTAATCATTGCAGTTGGTTTTAAATCAACACTTTCTGTTGATACTTTTCCTGTTTGATTCTGTTAAGTTTTCTACTTTGTTTATTAAATTTATGTTAACATTCCTTCTAGGATTAGATTTGACCATTTATGGTGCAACCTCAAGATTCCATTTAGGAAAACTTTATATATTTGGATGAATTTGGTACATATTCGTGTCTGATTCAGTTCATGTTATAGAGTTGATTAATCACTGCTGTTGGTTTATATATTGTGACATAGCTCATTTGCGATTAACTACTTTTCGCACTTTTGATTGTTCTATTCTCATTTGTTTAATTTTTTGTGCAGATATTCTGGGAAGAAGTTATACTTGATGTCTCCGCCAGCTATTGATTCTGCCTTGCTATCCTCGCCTAGCGAGCCCTTATGTAGATCTTTTAATGTGTGTGTAGAGGTAGCAAATCCAGCCGAAATTTTACCTGTGCTGGAAGCTCCTATTTCTTCTGGGTCTGATAACTGTAACATTCCAAAACCACCACCTCTCCCTGGTAAAATGTGTACAAGAGCTAAGTATTTAAAAACGCCTCTGGAGTGCAGCTTTGTCCCAAAGGAAACAAAGGATATTTGGGACAAGCTTTTTAAGGAAGGGTATGGTGCTGATGTTTGTATTATCACTGAGGATAAATCATGTGTTGTAGCTCATTCAAATATTTTGGTGAGTTGATTATATTTCTTTTTTCTTTTTTATCTCTTTAAGTAGAGCAATAGAGTTGGCCTGATTTGTATCACAATGTTAAGGAAATTTTCTTCTAATTATTATAGACATAATTTGAACAGTTGGTTGCTTTTATATGTTTATTCAGTGAATTCAATGAATTTTGATAGAAATTGGGCCAAGGGTCATTACTACTCTTCTTCAAAAATGGAAATGATTTAATATTTGAGCTTGAATTGATTTCCTTATAAATGGTTGATTAATGCATTCATTTTGACATACATGTGAAAAAAATGGAAGCTATAGTACAATAATATTATCAATTCATCAATTCTAATTTCTGATTTATGATCTAAACATTTTCTTTTTTGAAGAGTGTTGCGTCACCTGTGCTGGGTAACATTGTCGGGCAATCAAAAGTCAAGCATGGCATGAGATTCATCAAAATTCCTGGAATTCCTCATTATGCTGTCCGCTTGTTTATTCGTTTTTTATATTCATCCTGGTATGTTTGAAATCTTTTTCTGCATACTTGCTTCCTAAAGTTTTTAGCAATAGTTTGTGAGCTGGGGCTGGAGAACCCATAATTTAGCATATTCATCCTGGTATGTTTGAAACCATAATTTAGCAGTAGTTCCTTCATACTTGATATTTTAAAGCTGCCCCCTAGAATATAAAAATTATGGTTCTAAAAAGTTTCACACAGGAAAGTATACTGGTTCTGCCCAAACTGGATTCTGCTAGAAGAACATTTGTACATCTGAAAAAGGGGAAAGTGAAAGCAAGTTGTTTTTGCCTTTGCAAAGACTTCTATTTTTCCCTTTGGGCTAGTATTTTGTTATTAAGTGTTTAAACTTGATAGGCACTGCTAAATCGGCCTAAGGTCTTTATTTTGTGTGCTCAATTATCCTAGTTATAATTGGATACACTCAGTATTATTCAATATGGAAATGCAGTTATGAAGAGGAAGAGCTGAAGAAGTTTGTTCTCCATCTATTAGTCTTGTCACATTCCTACTCAGTTCCAGCACTAAAAAGAGTTTGTATTTACTTACTGGGGCAAGGCTGGCTTACCAAAGAAAATGTGATAGATGTCCTTCAGTTAGCAAGGAATTGTGATGCACCTAGGCTTACATTCATTTGTGTTCGTATGGTTGTAAAGAATTTCAAATCTGTATCTTCGACTGAAGGGTGGAAAGTGATGAAGCGTGCCAATCCAGCTCTTGAACAAGAACTTCTAGAGTCTGTTGTTGAAGCAGATTCTGTAAGTCAAACCCTTTTCTATGTTTGGAGTTTATATTTGTTATTCAATTTATTTTCATGATATAGCCCTCTTTTTGTTTTTTTTTTTAATATATATTTGTTAATCAATTTGTTTTCTTTTTCCCTCTCTGGAGGGTTGTTTATTGCTATTACTATTACTTTGATTATTATTATGTTTGGGGGCTGAGGGAGATTGTGGAGGGGTGAAGGAAAAATTTTGGTTCAAAACAACATACTCTTTGTGGTGTAATCTCTTCTCATCCTCTTGTCCAAAAGACTGTCCATTTTAGTCTTTTGTTGATGTTGGTCTCTTGACTACATCCTAAAATATTTCATCTCACTAATTCTCAGTTCTAATCATGCTTCTTCTTTTGAAAGTATAAACTGTATTGGCTTCCATTGAATAACCTATTTGCAAGTGCTGTAGATTTAGATAATTGTAGCATGGGGTATGATTATATCATATTGAAACATTTCACTGACTTGCCCTTATGAGAACCACTATGTTGTGATATATGTGTGTGACTATATGTATGGTGTCCTTTCCTTCCTTTCCCTCATACAATGTAAAATTTGGACCGACTAATTATTTCTTTGCCCTACCTATAAGACTGTAACTTAGAAAATAGGATCTTTGCTTTACTTGTGTTTCAGATCCTGGCTCAAAGTTTGATGCCAGAGTTTAGTGATAGTTGAGCTTATGCTTATATGTTATAAAATTGTCCTGTTTTAATCATTGGTTTTGCTTATTGTTTTCTTTCTCTCAGAGAAAGCAAGAAAGACAGAGGAAAATAGAAGAGAAAAAGGTCTACTTTCAGTTGTATGAAGCAATGGAGGCCCTACTTCACATTTGCAAGGATGGCTGTAGGACAATTGGACCCCGTGACAAGGTGCTGAAAGGAAGCCAGGCTAACTGCAATTTTCCTGCTTGTAAGGGACTTGAAGCTTTAGTGCGTCATTTCTCCAATTGTAAGACTCGGGTCCCTGGTGGATGTGTTCACTGCAAGCGCATGTGGCAGCTTCTTGAACTGCATTCCCGCATGTGCAATGAGCCTGATTCCTGCAAGGTTCCTCTTTGTAGGTAAGCATTAACCTTTTACCAAACCATTATATCGACCACTTTAGAGAAAATATTTTAGAGTTACAAAAGAGGAAAAGGATGATATTAGTTTACTGAAAAGAAAAGAAGGATTATATATAAGGTTTATGCTTGTGTTAGATGGTTTCATACTAGCTGATGAAAGCTTAAATATATTTAATTTGGTTTTTTGAGGTATTTGACAGGAAATATTTGTCTCTGGTTGGCAATGAGCCATAAACTCCTATTAGTATTTGCTCTTTTATTTATCCTTTTACCGTAGTATGTTTCTTTTGGCAGTAGTAATATCTATCAATTGGGCAAAAGCTAAGCTAGTTAGTTTGATTGATGCTGCTTAGTTTTAGATGAGGTTTGTAAAACACTATGCCGTAGGAGTTATACTATGCTCAATAACACGTGCATGCATTGTCTTCAGACTTGGTTGATTTCTTATGTTGCCTTGGTGATTGGAATGCTTGCTTCTTTAGAATACTTTTCCCCGTTAAGCTAGGGGCTTAGTGCTGATGATATCACCTACAATAGTAACATTGTTCCAAAATCTGATCGATTTATCGACGCTGGCTTGTACTGTACTGATTACTTGGCTTTTTGATTGAATTTGATTTAAAGGATGTGATTGAAGGTTATTAAGTACTTGTCGATGGTGACAAATGTAGTGGAAACCTGATACCGGTGATTAAACCATCTCCTTTTCTATTTCGTAGGCATTTTAAAGAGAAAATGCAGCAGCAGAGCAAGAAAGATGAGACTAAGTGGAAGCTGTTAGTCAGCAAAGTTATTGCAACAAAGAATGCAGTAGGGTTATTCTCATCTCGGCGTTCAGGTGTAGTTTGACATCTCAAATGTGAAAAATGGCATTACCATGTATTTTTATTTGAAGTGGTTAATGCTCCATAGTAACTTACAGAAGTTGTGAAATGGGAAAATTAAAAATGAAAAGAATATTATTAATGCGTTAATGACAGAATAAACACTACTAGTAATTTCTTCATTAGAAGGATTATTCTGTTTTTTTTTCTTTCTTTCCTTTTCGTAAAAAGGCAGCTTGATGCGTAAAGTTCCTGCTATGTCCAGAATCCGAAAAAGGGTCTATTGTAGGAAGATTTTACTTTTTTTTTTTTTTTGTATTTAACATTTTTATCTTTCTTTCATAAAAAAAAAAACTTAAAAACAGATATGTTACAAGCAGAGGCAACAATTTAATAAAACCTGTAAAATTAACATTTTTATATTAAAAAAAAAGTAATAATCTCATTATCTAAACACAAGGATGAGACCTTGATTAAACTATTGTTTTAGTTTTTCATATGATGAGCTGTTAGACTCGCATAAAATGAAATAAAGCTTTCAAATTTGGTTTCTAACTTAATTCAGACATTAAATGGCCAAAAAAAATTTAATTCAGACATTGCATATTTAGCAAGTACACAACTTGAGTGAGTTCATGAATGAGCTGTAAGAAAGTCCACAACTTGAATTTACAAACAAGCGCTAAATAAAAATTAAGGAAATCCATTCACAAATTTAATAAAATGGGTTGTCAAAACCATGATTAGATGCATACAATAAGATCGGTTTTGCTGTTTTGGTAATTTGAAAGAAAAGCTTGGTGATAAGGATATCACGAGTCATATGAAAAATTTGTGATCCAACGGTTAGAAATTGGAAAATCAAGATTTAGTGATTCAGATTCAAATCTATAAATAAGATCTCCAGTCTTAGGTTGTCTTAATGAACAAGTCATCAAGTAGAGTTGAGGGCTTTGAGTGTTTTGTTTTTCTTTGATAGAAAGCTAAGCTCTCCCATGTCTGGGTTGCACATGGTTTCTGATAAAACTATGGAATCAATCTCTGTCAAACCAGTTCGGGTTCGAGAGAACATGGTTTATGTGAATCCTCTGCGAAATCCCATCTCCAGCCTCCATCAATGGACTGATTTGAAAGCCAAAGACAAGAATGGCAATGAAGACATTGAAATTGGGTCGTATCAACGATTTCTGAAAAAGGGTTGCAGCCATGTTAATCATCTGTTGAACCCAGTGTCTGATATTCATGAATGGAGAGCTTTGTTGGCCAACGATACAAAGCCATTGATGACTGAGTCGCTGCCACAAGGTCATAGTCTTAAATCTAATCCAAGTTTGAAGGAGTTTGACGAAGAAGTAGCTATGGATGCTAGCCTTTCCTGTTGGCTGTCTTCTTCTGATGAAACTACAAATACAAAATAGTGCAAATTTCTATGGAGATTTTGAGGCTGTTCTCCACTCATTCTCATGAGTGAAGACTAAAGAGTTGGCAATCAAATAATCAAATTGAGTACTTTGGGTATGGATCAGGGTTTATGGAATATGTAGGAGATAAGTTTGATCCTGTTTAGGATAATTCGAATTGTATATTTTCTTTGAGATAAGTGTTTAATCAATGAACTCTTATTTGTTGAAAAAAAAAAAATTTTTATTTTAATGTATGAAAAAAAATAAAATTTAATTCTTTATTTCTATGATGATTTAATCATACAAAATAATTTGAATAATTCATAGCTTAATTATGAAATAAATACTTTCTTTTATATCTAAAAAAAAAAATGCACAGATTGTTGCGATGTACATGTCCCAAAAAGATTTACTTGACTTTCAAGTTAACTTTGTTATTTTGGATGTTTTTTTTTTTTAGTGAATCTATTTGTTTCATTCTTTTTAATTTATTATTTAAGCTCAATCTTTTTATTTTTAAAATTATCTCTCAACGAAATAATTTAATTATTTTTTTTTCAAAAACCTTTAAAAATTTTTGAATATGCTAATTTGAAATTTTTAAAAATTTACAAATATTATTATTTAAATCAAATTCAGTAATATACGATTGTTATATATCCCAATAAACTTATTTAATTAGATATTATAATTATATGGTCAAAGAAATTACCTTACACAAGGCACTAATAAAAAATAGCAATTTTAAAGAAATTAACCAATTACAGTATCTTGCAAAACATAAACCATAACATTATTATTCATATCAAAAACATTTTTTGATACATCATATTTCTTGAACTTAGAAGGGATTACTTAGATGATTCCCTGTGGTTCACCATGGATTCTTAATTAAAGCCTAAACACTCTCTTCTTCATTGAACTTCTTGGAACATTTCCCTATTAACTGCTTCTTTTGTGCATCAAAATCACAATTGTTTTATAGGTTGAGGCCCTCAATGTACGCTAGTGTTTCTTGATCGCAGTTCCTGATCCGTCCATCCCTGCCCAATTGCCGGCTATGTAGTGAAGGTAAGATACTAACTTCGTAACTTACTCGGAAGGTTTTATCGTATGTATAATTCCACTCGAACATAAATCCATTAACCTAATTCAAAATAAAGTGTTAATAAAACGACATATGAAAACAAAATTTGTTTGGATATAAAAAAAAAATTGTAGCCCAAAAATGAAAAAAAAAATCATAAAAAATGATTATATGAAACGAAATAAACCTGCCGGTGAGAGACCTTCGTTAGAGCTTGAACATCTTTCTTTTCAGCGAGCTCCCTGGCATTGCTCAAAAGTGAAAGATATTCATGATACCTGCCATTCTGAACTAATAGATCATACATTTGAGTGTAAGGTGGGAAATTAATGTAATTGAAGCAATTGGGAAAATTTAATTAATTAGTGTAAATTATTATTCGTACCATCTCGTCAAACTGTTGCCTCACTTTCAAAATGCGTTTTTGGGCTTCATTCTTTTGCTTCCATATTCCCCATTGCTGCCTTCTGTAAGCAAATGCCTGTTCGTTAATAGCCTCAAGTTCTTTCTCCAAACGCGCAATTTCGGTCATAACTTCGCATTGCTCCCGTCTTAATTCCACCGATATTTTATTAACAAGCTACATGACAAATATGATACAATATTAGTGAATTCGAGAGAAGCACCCTTATTAGATTAAGCCATTAAGACCCAAGTCCGATTGGAAAAAAATATGATAATTTTTTTTGTCGTATTTTGATAAGTAAAATCTTGAATATATCAGATCAATATGAGAGATTGTGCTCATAAAATTGCATGAAAAAAGACTAAGTCTAGACAAAATCCATAGATACTCCTATCAAAGAATTAAATAAAAAAAATAAGCCCTTGAGTTTAAGTAAAGTAAGAGTATTTTACCTTGATTTGCTCTTGTATGGCCCTTCTCACACTCAAGGGGTTCCAAATCTTGCCTTTATTAGCAAAGTCAGCCAAAGCTTTCTCTTTTCTCTGTTCAATCTGTTTCATCTTGTCAATCATTTGGGTATACCTGGTTTTATCTATATTTGAGCCGTCACTATACCACCGAATCTGCCATAGGAAAGCTTAGTCAGTGGAAGAAGAATTAGAAGAAAGACATGCATTAAGCTAAGATCATTGAGTCTCCAATTGTTGTCTCTTACATATTCTTGTAACAATGACCTTGGCTCAAGATCACTGAGGCTTTGTTGGCTACTAGCTATGTCTCTTAAGAGCTGCTTTTCTGTAGCCAAATTACTACTTCCATGTGACATCCAGCTTTGAAAGTCCTGTAATCGGTTCAAAAGTCTCATGAAACGCCAAATAATAATAATAAGATAGATTTAATGCAGTATGAAAATACTTTGTTTTGCGAGTTCGTTTTGATGCATTGATAATATGATATTTAATTTCACGAACGAAATTAAGAGATGATCACGTACAACAAAAAAATTATATTGGATTTTAAAGTGCGACTTACTTGAGTATGACGTCCAGTTGAGTAGGACTTGTTAGCTCTTCCTTTATGTGTAATCTTCTTGTCAAAATTCAGCTTATCCAAAACTACTTCTAGATAATCCAACATATTCTTTTGCCCGTACTCCAATCCGTATGTAATATCCCATTGATGATAGCTTAGCTGCTCAATTTGTGATCGAATATCTATCCTTTTTAACTGTCCACAAAGTCCATCAAATAATATATAAATATATAAATTTAATATTAATTTATTATTTACATCTATTTGTTTTATCAAAATTTGACAATTTAAATTTAAAATACATGATAAAACATTTTACAGATTTTACTAATGAAAGCATTTTGATTAATTTTTTTTTTTATATTTGAATCGTGAAAATTTGAATTTTGATTATTGAAATTAAAATTTTAACATTTTATTAAAGGATCATACAACTATTGTCAAAATTTTCAAGAGATCATAAATGAATTGATATCATTACTTACCCTTAAAATTTTTTGTTCCTTGCGAATTCGAATTCTATCTTGATCCAATTTTTCGATCAACTTTTCTGTTTCTGAAATTTTTGATGCTTCATCTGGGTCTTTATAGGGCCAAAACTTAATAAAATAGAATTGATGAACCTTTTTAGAAGCACCACCAACTCTATCCAACACAATCTTCTTAGGCTGATTGATTTTCAAATTAAGGGTCTCAATTGCACTCGAATTTATGTCTCCTTCACCTTTAGGAACTGGAATTTGCTGCACCAAATTACCTTCCAAGCTGTCTGTTGCCATGATTTTCTGCCTATATTTTGATACAATAATACAAACAAGCTTTACTTTCATGGAGATATTATAAGTGTAACATTTACTTTTGGATGTTAAAAGAAATTTCACCATGATCATATATAAACATGAGAGAGATTCATAAAAATGCCAAAAAAAAGAAAAAGAAAAGAAAAAGTTCATAACAATATGAAAAATTGAAGGCATGGATTTGTTTGTTACCTTGGATATAGTCGATATGGCCTTTCCAATGCAAGAAAAAGGATGGCTAAATGCGAATATATAAGCTGACTAAATATGCAAATTATGAATAGAAAATTACTGTAACGTTTAGGGTTTTAAAGCTTAAAACCGAAGTCCTTGCACCTCACGCCAAGTGTTGAGTCAACTCCTTTGCCAGCACTTTGTCACAACTTCAACTTCTTCTTTAATTTTTTTTTTTAATAATATTTTATCAAATTGATAATTTTAATATTTTATCATTTCTTTTAATTTAAAGAAGAAGAAAAGAAAGTTGATGATTCCGTATATTCATTCATACCAAATTCAAAACATGAATAAAAATATATTAGGATAATCTTAAAGAGGATACTTGAAATTGATTGTTTCTTTAATTGAAAAATAAAAACTTCGAATCCCACTCTTTAAGCAAAAATATATGCATTCACCATTAATTTGGTAAGTTATTAGTTTAATTAATTATATTAGGTTACTAATTTAATTATATCAGTAAACTTAATTATAAACATCATCTTTGTACAATTTCAAGCATTATTTAATTCGGATCAATGATTATAAGTGATATACTCTCGGTTGAAATGTATACTTGTTTACAGTCACTAGGCAGGCGATCCCAATATAGTCATACTCCAAATGCTTGTAGCTCAACACCACTATTTTATACTTTTATTAGAGTTTGATCTGGTGTTTAAATTTGCAGAATAATGTAAATGCTTTGAATGAAAATAATAAATGACTTAAGAGTAAAATCTTTTCTTGCAATCTCTATTGAATAAATAAGGCTTCTGCAGTTGCAGGAAATTTAATTTCTTTTATGGTAAAATTGTCAACAAATGGACGACAATCACGGAAGCATAGAGGCTTCCTTCTTTTTCTGGTCTACAATGGACTTGTGTCCTTCAATCTCCACCCCTTCAAGTGCTTTGCTCAAAGTTGCAAAGGTCTCTTCCTTCCTCTTACTCTGAGATGTCCCAATTCTCATGTTGTTGGGGTGTGTTCCAATGTGTTGCAACAGATGGAGACAGCCTTGAATTTGGCAGTGGATGTTCCATTTCCATACTCTGGTATGCAAAGAATCCCATTTCAGCAAACCCTTTGATTCCTCTAAGAAATGAGAAAATGATGAGAAAAAAGAATTCAATGTTTTTGTTATTTTTTCTATAAGGGCAAATGGCTTTAAAAAAAAAAGAAAGTAAAAGAAAAAGTTTAAAAAGAAATTTGCCGAAATCATGATTGAAGAAGATGGCTAAGTGATTATGTCACGGGTCGATACTTAAGCTCCAAACCCGCGCGGCTCCGAGACCCGGGCATTCACCCTTCCGGCGTCTCAGATCAACCTTCTCGCCACGGTTCACACGTATTGTCCGCTCTGGCCCCCTTGGCCTCACGGTTTTGTCCTACAAAAGACGCCTCACAAGGAAAAGGTGGTGTGAACCCTTATATACCCCAGTGACCCTCCTATTATGTTCGATGTGGGATTCAGGACTTCATCCTTAGGTCCGTGACATTCTCCTGTACCCAACCTCGTGACGCCCTCGTCACGGAAGCTGGCCATCCTGCCTACCTCCCTCGAGGTGCTTGGCGTGGATCGAACGGTTTAGGGTTGGCTCTGATACCACTTGTCAGTGGTCGAGACTTGAGCTTCGAACCCGCGTGGCTCCGGGACCCGGGCATTCACCCTTCCGGCGTCCCAGATTAGCCTTCTGCCACCCTTGTGAGGTATTGTCCGCTCTGGCCCCCTTGGCCTCACGGTTTTGTCCTACAAAAGACGCCTCATAAGGCGGAGATGGTGTGAACCCTTTTATACCCCAGTGACCTTCCTATTATGTTCGATGTGGGATTTAGGACTCCCCCTTAGGTCCATGACAATTAAACATACCTCTGTTTCCAATTGACTTGAACTCCTTAACATTGTTGAGATGACTTGAATTTATTTTTACACAGGGATCAATCATCATTTTTAGTTATGACTTCTGGAATGTCAGAAATCTTGGAACATTTTGGTCAAGGTCCCGCTGTTATGTCTGTGACATTCAACTCACTGCTTCATCTCCATGGCGCAACTTTAGTCTGAAAAGGGAATTAAAGAAATACAGTCAGTGCAATTCAGAAGTTAAAGTCTGACAAATTCTGTAGCACAAAAAGTTCCTACAGACTAGGAAAAGAATGCTGAAACAAAAACTAATGTGCATTATACATAAGGTTCACTGACAAGAATGCCTAGAAGCAGGTGCTTCTTTGAAGGCTTACAGTTCCCTGCAATCCCGCCATGAAAGGAGGAGAGAAGGCAAAACAAATGGTTAACTATTAAGTTACTGTTATGAGCTTTCCAGAGTTCTTGTTTGAGTCTCATAAGTCAAAAGACAAAGCTCTCAGATAAGTAATTGACAATGAGGGATTGAGATTTGTAAGAAAATTAACTTACCACAGGTATGAATTGGATCCACAGCCTCAATCTCCACTAGACTGACTAGTACATCATCTATGAAGATATTTGGAATATGGGAAATGTTGGACCACTCATGGCTGTTCTCCTCAGCACACCTTTCCTTCAACTTGGGACAATCATTAAGCTTAAGTGTCTGTAATTTGGAAAGGCATTGCATGGTTTCTATAGGAGGGAGATACATCAGATTCTTGCATCTCTGGAATTCAAGTTCTTGAAGACATGAGAGGTTTCCCAGCCACTGTGGTATAGCTTCCACTTCGTTGAAGTCCCTTATATCCAAAGATGTAAGGCCAGTGAGGTATTGAAGCTGATATGGTAGAGCTTTTAGTTTTTCCCATCCATATAACCGAAAATCTTCAAGGGAAAGATGGAGGTGCTGAATGGAACCAAAACCAGGAAATTCCTCCAGTTCTTCTGACAAACCACCAATATTCAACACCTTCAACTGTGTGAGGTGGCATAGACTATCCGGAATGGTAGTCAGTTTTCCACAAAATGTGATTCCTAAAGAGCGGAGAGATTGCAATTTTCCTAGATCTTCAGGAACAGAGATCAAACTGGGGCAGTTGCAAATCCTCAAAACCTCAAGAGAAGTACATAAGCACAACCCACTTGGTAGGCTTGTTAATCCTTCACATCCAGAAATTTCTAGTTTTGTAAGAGAGCAGAGCATATTTAAGCAGGGAATGGACATCAAATTAGAACATTCCCATATAGATAATTCTTTGAGATATGTTGATGCAGATAGACCGTCTCCTATGGAACTTAACCGCTCACACCATCTAACATCAAGCTTCTGAAGAGATGAAAATCCACTCATTACAGGAATGCTTTGCAACTTGGGACACCTCCAAATAATCAGCTCCTCAAGGCAAGGAAACACCACAACCTGTTCTCTTCCGATCATTGCTGCCTCCACCTCTTCCACCAATTTCTCCAGGCTGCTCATCTCCTTTAAAGTGAATTTCCTCAATGCTGGGAAGAGTGACAAAGCCTTCTGCCCTTCACACCTACTGCTGTTCAAATAAAACTCAGTACCTATATACTTCACATTCTCCATCCCATCTATTGTAAGAACTTTAAGATTGCACAATTGCCCAATGGTTGGAATGTTTTTGCAGTTCCTGCAATTGATTAATTTCAAATCCACCAAATTATGGAGCAGAAGTGAATCAACATCATTTGTCTTTGTCAACATCCATGATGGAAAGTTCTCTCCAGCGTAACCCGTAATAGTTAAGCTTTTCAAATTTGAGTGAGGCTGAAGACCTCCCAGCACATCTTCATCATTGTTACCCCCTTCTCTTTGAGAGCGCCACACAAGTTCCAACTTGTATATTCTTGTCTTTTCTTGGAGTTTAGCTCGTTTGGCTTCTTCATTGTCTCTAACATACTCAAGATTGGATATCTTTAACTCTCCTCTCAGTTGGCTTAAGGACCCCAATTCTTCAATTAGGTTTCCCATTTCTGTACCCACAGAAAACAATGGCAACGTCTGAAGACAGGTTAGCTGCCCAATCTCCAGAGGCATCAGCATTGGATCATTGAAAAAAATGTGCCTCAAGCTGACTAAATCTCTCATTCCTTTGGGGAGATTTTGAAGGCAAAAGCAGCACATGAATCTTAATGTCTGGAGATTATAAAGCTTAGTGATGGATTCAGGTAGTGCTCTGATATTGGTCCAGGAGATGTCAAAATACCTCAAATGCCTCAATCTTCCAAGTGAAGCAGGCAACTCTTCGATAAAAGCGCCCTCAAAATTAAGGACACGCAAGCTTCTAAATTCACCTGGAAAGTTGGGGTAGACATCAAACTTTGAAAACAAAGAGTGCAATTTCTGAGGGGTAGCTCCTGAAACTTTTGGAATCATTTCACCCTCATTAATGAAATTCAGATGACGAACATGAGACAAATCACCTACACAATCAGTCTTCAGAGTCAGTGTTTCAGATTTTGAAACAGACAATGCAAGTTCATGAACTACATCATGCATTTTGCAAGTTGTAATATTGCCATATGCGTCCCTTTCTGCATCTTGAAATAAGGAGTTTGACAATAAGTCATTAAAGTACTTGTTTCCTATATCCTCCATCTCTGCAAGACTTCCTTCATATGGCCTACTTTCTGCAGATGGCTGAAGAAAACCTTGAGCCATCCAAAGCTGAATCAGCTGATCCCTTTCAATCTCATGATCTTGTGGGAAAATTGAACAATATGCAAAACATTGTTTCAAACAAAAAGGTAAGTTATCAAAACTCAACTTCAAAGTAGGTAAAATTTCATTGTTGTTTCCCAACTTCCAAGCATCACTATTTTTAATCGACAACCATGTATCTTTTTCCAATTTTAAGCCCATTGTTCCACCTAAAATGCTTGCAACAAGGGGCACCCCACCACATTTTCTTGCAATTTCCATCCCAATGTCCTTCAAATCTGAACTCACCAACCCTCCTCTTTTGCCGAATGCTCTTTCCTTGATAATTGACCAACACTCATCATCTGATAACTTTTCTAGGTGATGTGTATGCAAAGAAAGTGTCTCCATTACGGATGCCACATTCTGACTACGAGTTGTTACAACAACACTGTTTGCATTATTATTAATTTTTGATAAACGACTTTTCAATCTACCCCATTTCTCCCGATCCTCATTCCATACATCATCAAGAACTAAGAGAAATCTTTGCCCTTCCAGCTCTTTTCTAAGGTTCTGAATTATTGCATTAATATTACTCAATCCTCCTGCAGTTCTATCAAGAGATTCCAACATTCCCCCTAAAATCTTTTGGTCAGTAAAATTATCAGATACACAAACCCATATTATCACATCAAATATATTTTTCTCTTCTACTTCTTTGCACACTGATTTTGCCAAAGTTGTCTTTCCAATGCCTGCCATACCCACTATGGAAATAACCGAAACACCATGTTGGCCACTTAAGCTAATCAACATGTTCACAATCTTTGAGACATCATCTTTTCTTCCTACAACTTCTGAATCAAGGATGGAATCCGTCTCATAATCTCGGCTAATTTGGGAAACCCTGTCCATATTTCCAACTCTAAGTCCAAAACCAGCTGCATCAGATTTTATTTGAACTAGAGATCCATTTATCTTCTTAATTTTCTTAGCAAATCTGAAAGAAACTGACACAGGCTTGAAGAAAGGAAAGTAGCAGACCTTTTTCTTCAGCTGGTTCTGATTTTTTACCTTCCTTCTGAGAATTTCATAAGCGAAGTCATCAAGCACGTCATTAGCCTCATAAGCAATATCTCTAAGCCTCTCCAGCCAAAGCTGCACAGCCTTGTCTCTCACTTGCCTTCCATCAGCATCCTGAAGCACAGCCTGGATCATAGTAAGTGAGTCACGAAGCCTTGTCAGATCTTTCTTGAAACCCCAGGCCAGATTGATCTGCTCATTGGCAAGAGAAATCACCTTGGACAATGCTGCCTCTATAACAAAACCGAGCAAAGCTTCAGCCATCTTTTGCAATGATGCTCCTATGTGGATTCTGAAAATTCTTCAAATCACTGAAACAGAAAAGAGGAGAGAATGATGCTGTAATTCTGTAGTTAAAGGATGGTTGACTTTGTACCATCAGAAGGCGGAAAGAGGTGTGGGAAAGAAAGGAGCGACAGTCAAAGAAAACGGCTGTGGATGGTAGCGAGTCAATGGGCCATACCCGTAAGTTAAGTCACAGCCATCAATGCTAGACGTTATTTTTAAGAATAGAAATGCATCTTTCCAAGCGGCTCATCAGCTGCATGCGTTGTTCATTTCCCTAAGACAAGTTATCCATAACTCACGCAAAGACGTAGAACAAGTTCAGGTCTTGTAAATTGGCTATGCATCCAGCATACCAGCTTCCGGGATACAAATCACTGGCTAAACGAGTCATCTTAAGATGAAAATCCTGTTGATCGAAGGAATTATACCAAGCAAGGGTAGCGCAAGCTTCTGGACTAACGATTTTAGACAAATGTAGACCATCATTGTGTAGCACCACAAAGCTTACTGGCATTTTTTTAAGAAATTGTAGCTATTCTTTCAAATTCCAGGACCTTGCGAGCTACACCGGAAGGTTCAACTTGAGTCATAGCATTCATTCCTTACAAAGTTTTCTTCTCTGTTTTCTGCTGATTTAATGCTAGTATTGTTCATTTGTGTATCCTTCTTTGTTAAAAGTAAAACAATGACATATCCTTAAAAGACAAAAACAGTTGGTTCAATTTAATAAAATAAACATGCAACTTAGAAGCGGAAAGGACACACTGATCTTAGAATGAAAGTATCTCTGCCACTTTCTTACACAGGTTGAACAAATAGAAAACCTTCATTGTTTCACTCAAGTAAGATGATCCAGTACCGTCTAACGGTATAATTTCTAAAATCCTCATATCCTAGAAACAAGTAGATAAGAACCGCTAGGACTTGTAGATGACATAATTCCTTGATGCAGTTGCAACACTAAGCCCCATCTGCTAATGTCCTCTTTGATGTACTGATGTAAAGTACTGCATAATTGAAATGAAATTTACCATCATTGCCAGCACAAATGCATAAATAGTATTAAATAAAATGAAGTTTATTAAGAATAATTACCATTATTTCCACGAATAAAAGCATCACCGTATTTATTTTTTAACTGTCCATTAACATATTCTTCTGTTTGCTCCATAGCTATATTCATATATCCATCAAGGCAAGCTAGAATACCTGCAAATGAGGGGGAAAGTTAACGGTATAAAACTCCCAGAAAGCCACAATTCTGTACCGCAATAATAGACTAAGAATTCAAATTTGAATGTCGGTTCTCCTTGTTTTCTAAATATATACAGAAAAGGCCATGTCCCAAAGCTTACACATTCACTGGAATCCATTAATATATTTCAGAAAGAAAAATTTCATAATATACATGATACACGCTATCTCTGCTATTTATGTGCAGGTGTCTCAAATATCTTAGGAGAAACTTTGCTGAATCCATACCAGATGAACATCAGCATGCAGAAAAAATAAGATCATGCCGTTCATGACAACTTTACATATCTTATGACAGAGTACAGGAAAATACTGGGGGACAGAAATAAAGAATAAGCATTTACTCTCTCCGGTAATTGACAAACAACAGCAAGGTCTCCCAAATGATTCATCACATGCAAATAACAATACAGTAAGTATCTAATAAATTCCAAAACTGTAAGACAATTGAGAAAGTAACTGGTACTCATTTCCATTTCCTGAGAGTTTGAGCCGAACTCTACACATGCATGAAAGAAAGTGAGACTTCATGGAATAAACCATACACAAATCACTCAAACAAGCTTTGAATGCATAACATTTGTATCTGTAAGGACAGACAATATGAAATTTACCCTTAATCTAATTAAGCACATTAACAATAACAAGCAAAACTCAAAATCCAAAAATAAATAACTCTAAATGCAGAATGGATCAGAAGCATACATAGATGAAACAATCATAGAGTGAAAGGGTAGATGCAGAGCAACCAACCTCTATAATCAACACCAGAATTCAGTTTCACAACAACTGGTCGCCCACGAATTGATTTGAGGAAATCCCCAGGTGTTTTCGTAGTTGTTGACCCTTTCTCTCCTGCAGTACTCATCTTCCTTATCGTAATTCCACACAACTTACTAATGTACACCTCTGCAAATTATAAGACAGTTATATTCAAGTGAATAATCCTGTGGGGGTAAATATAGGAAATAGGAACGAGGAAGTAGACAACAAGAAGCCAGGCTTTTTAGACGAGCACATATGAATATGTCGATAGAATAAACCAAGCATGCTTATGGATCTAGAGTAAAGAACAAAACGAATCAGCTAGAGTAGCTTCATACAGAATTCTTATTAACAGGCTTTCTCTTTTGTAATGAGACAATAATAATAAAAGTAGTAAAAGCCACTTCAACCTAACAACTCCCTTGGGGACACCTATTTCCAGCCCCACTAAAATTTGCAGCTTTTGAAGTATGATGGAGAAGTGAAATTAAATTTTATGCATTACCCTACAAATAATAGGGAAATGCCGAAAACATTTTAAATCAACAAAATTTTCATATGTATAATAACAAATAACCCATTTGTTGCAAAACCAAGACAAACAGGAAAAACATTGCATACTTTAGCTACCGGATTGGCAAACAGAAAAAGGAAAGACCCTTCACGCTGTGCGTTAAATCGCAAACAGAAACTTATTTCACAACTTAGATCAAAGGCACCTAATCACTATTTTTCTCTCCTCTTACTGCCACATTGAGCTCAGAGCATACCCGATAAATAAACAAAAGCTAATATTTTTCACCTAAAACGTTAACGGACAAACAATTTTCCAAATCAACATAAGAACAACAAGGGCTACTCTAAAGCAAGCTTCAGTTAAGTAGGAAACTGCAAACATGACAGCCTTTGAACTGAAAAGAACAAAATGCAGTCAAAAGGCTACCCAAAAACCTAAATATCAACCTTAAAATTCTATGCTTCTTAAAAAAAGATATATAAATTAAAATTACCAATTAGAATCCATGGGAAGGGTACCCATGAAATTGTCAACGTTATAAAAACTCAAAACAAATTCATAAATAAACATAAATGGGTGAAATACATAGGTTATACCAAAATGGGTTTTCGTTTTTCAAGGTAATTCACGTTCCAAGGATGTTAATAGTTGAAAACAGCAAAAGCTTACTGAACAAATAGCCAGACAAGATAACATCAAGCTGACCCAACTATCTCATAGAAATTAAAAAAAATACCCCCACAAAAATAAGAGTAAAATAAAGTTTTAATCTGAATCTGAAATAGGAAAACAGTTTACAGCAAAAAAGAGCTTACCTTCTTGAGATTGTTGTTCAGTTCGATGACACTTCACAATGGCAATGGCCGTGTCTAATTTGCTTTTATATTTTGGGAACAGATAGGTAAACGGCTCGTTTAACTCACTCTCTCTCTCTCTTTGTTTCAGTTGGTGGATAAGTTACGAAGAAACCCTAGCTATTTCCTAAACCTCTTACTCAGTATTTCGTTTTTTCTTTTTGATCCATTCGCTTTTTTTTTTTTTTTTTTCCCATAAAAGGTAGATGATTAGTGCAATACGTGATATAAAATATTAAAATATATATATTCATATTATATTTTATATAAAAATCATCCATTATAATTTTTATAAATATAAAAAATATTTTTTAAATTTTATTAAACTATTAAAATTTTTAATTATATTATTTTTATATTATATTTATATCATATTATTATATCGCATTTTAAATTTTAAACTTTCAAATAAATGGATAGGAAAATGAAGCATTTAGCTTTAATTTTGTGTTTTTCATTTTTTTTATTTTACTAAAGAGTGTATACTCTTTTAAGATTATTAAATTATTATTTTTAATATATTGAAAATCTTTTTTATGAAATAATATATTAAAAATTATTAAATTAATTATCAATTATTGTATTTAATATAACTGTCTTCTTATAAATAGTAACTTAATTTGTAAAGATAAAGTAGATTTGATAATTTATATTTTCGTATCGTATATTATATCGTGTTTGATATATATATAATGATATGAATTATTAAAATATGAATACAATATAAATTATAAAATATATTTAAATTTTAAATATAATACGATACGTTTAATATATATATTACATATAACATGATACGATTAACGCGTATATAATTAATTTATTTAAATACAATATAAATAAATATAAATAATATGGATATACATAAATAAATATGACTAATACAGATATATCCGAATAAACACGACTAACAAGAATATATATATAATACTATGACTAAAATAATAAATTTGACATATTAATAATATAAAAAAATATTTACAAATTAAAAAAATTAATACTCATTTAATATGTATTTAATTTATATATTTAAATTTTAATTTATATTACATAACTATATTAATTTTTATATCAAATTTAAAATAATAAACTATTAAAGATTAAATTATAAAATAATAATATATATTACTTATATTAATATTTATATTGTATTTATATTATTAATATAAAAAATAATTTTATAATAATTATTAAATAAATATCATAATTAAATGTTTAAAATATTTTTATATGAAATTAAATAGTTAATTAAGTATCATAATTAAAAGATTAAAAATTAAAATATTTTTATATGTTTATACTAAATTAAAATAAATATAAAAAGTATGTTAAACGTATTAAACATATTAAACGTATACTCGTATGATAAAATTAAAGTAAACATATCATTTATATTACGTCATGCATTTAAATGAGTCAACACATATACGCTATGAATTGTATCATATCAAAATTTATGTCAACACAAATAAACAAAAAATATATATTTTTTAAAACATACATATAATTTTTTTTCATATCGTTTTCATATCTTATCATTATATTGTGTTTAAAGTTGTCAAACCTAAGATAAATTATAGAATTATTATTTTATTATATGAATGATTTAAATTTATAAGTAATCTTTTAGTTAATGTAATTTATTTTTTTTAATTTTGAAATAAATTAATCATTATATTTCAAGTTTTAGATAAATTAAAAATATTCAACAAAATTTTTTTGTTATAAATATTTTATAATTAAATAATTTATAAAAAAAGAACATGAAAAACTTGACGATCAACTAAAAAAGTATCATGTAATATTATATATAGTAGAAAATGTAGTGATGAAATAAGAAAAAAATAAAACAAAAAGAAAATTTTGGATTATTTAACATTATATTTAATAAAAATATCATGATAAAATAAAAAATAAAATAAAAAGTAAAATTTTGAATTTTAATTTCATGATTACTTTCTTAGGATCATGTCATTTTTTAAATTATTTTTTGAATTATAAAAAAGTTTTAATTGTTTTAAATTTTAAATAATGATAAATTTATTCTATAATTATTATGATAGAACTACACCAATTGAAAGATTATGGTAAATTTGTATTGAATTATTCTTTTCTTTTTTCAAAATCCAACAAAACAAAGCCCTCAAGAAAACTTTCCAAAGTAACGAATGGAAACTCAACATGGATTAACCTGAAACTACCCTTCAGCTCTACATCTTCCTTCCATATTCTGATGGAATTAACAGCTCTTGATTTCTCTCAATTCTGAAACCATGAACCCATTTAAGAGATCACTTTCTAACCCTTTCTTCAGATTTAACAATTCCAAGTCCACACTTCTGCGATCCTCAATAAAAAATAGAAGTCAAACCAAAGAAACAATCAGTTCCCAAAATCCCATTTTCAGTTCCATGTTTTCTGATCCAACCTTGCCAGTTTTCACTGCAAATTCATCTTCATTCTCAAGGGTAAATACCCACTTCTCATATTCATTGAAACAACCAAAACTGACTTCAAAGACTCAAACTTTGCCTAAAATCAGGACCTTTTGTGTTAAAAAAACAAGCCCAAATGCTGAACTTTTTGCTTCAAATGATATCCCTGTTGTTTCTACTGTTAGTCCACCAATTCAGAGCTCTCAGCCTATTGATGCAGGGTCTTCAATGAGAAAACCAATCAGTTTATGGCCTGGAATGTACCATTCTCCTGTAACAAATGCTTTATGGGAAGCAAGATCAAGCATGTTTGAGAAAAGTTCTGATGACAAGCAAGATTCACAAAGTGAATTAGTCGCAAAAACACCTTCAAGGAGCAGGACTAGTATTGTTTATAAGTTTTCTTCTGATTATATACTTAGGGAGCAGTATAGGAATCCTTGGGATGAGATGAGGATGGGGAAATTGCTTGAGGATCTTGATGCTCTTGCTGGAACCATCTCATATAAGGTACTACTATGAATTTTGAAATCTTTCGATAGCTACATTTATTTTAGTCTGTTTATACCAAAGCTTGTTTGAGTTTAGACTGGTGATAGTGCTTGAAATGGTGTGTGTGATCTCTGACATGGTTCTGTTGTGATAAGCTCTCTGTTTTGATATAACTGATAACTGAATTTTCAACTTTATGTAATTTGTTTGTTTGCTTTGGACCAGCACTGTCGTAATGATGATGGCGCAACAAGGCCTATATTATTGGTTACTGCTTCCGTTGACAAGATGGTTCTGAAGAAACCAATCCGTGTTGACTTTGATTTGAAAATGTCTGGTGCTGTTACATGGGTTGGGAGGTCATCTATGGAGATTCAGCTGGAAGTAACTCAATCCACACCAGGTAGTGCAGAATAATGGCTAGTTCATTGTTTTCTCCTTTTGGTCTGTGGTTGGCTGCAAATAATTTTCATTTACATGTGTAGATGTCTGTTTGTTTCTTCTGGTTCTGAATGTCCATCGTCCTATACTTTGTTGAATAAAAACATGTGAATATAAATTGATTATAAATTTTGAGTTTTGCTAAATACAAAAAAGCCAGATGGAGAAGCAATGTTTAGTTGCTTTCCACCATCACCTGTACTTTCTCACTTTTCACGGTACTCAAGCATATTAAACACTGCATAATCCTCCTTTTTGCCCTCTTTATTTCTTCCTACTGATCCAGTTGCAATACTATCTTGTCTCTCTACGACAAAAACCCTCCATAATTTTAAAAGTTTTTAACAAATTCTATTAAGGTACCAAGTATAAATAATATTCCAAGCAAGCAATGTGCCGGACTGATGTTCTCAAGAGCTTATTTGGAATGGGCAGATTAATAGTTTTACATGAATTTTAGCCACTGCACTAATTTCAATTTTGAGTTAAGATATCTATGGTCATGCCTTTTTATTCTACCCAAGGAATTTCTCATATTGCAATAACAATTAGCAGCTCATCTATATCACTTACTCTTGAAATATTATTTGTTCTTTCAAAAATGTTCCACTCAACTCCAAACCAATTAGGTCCTATACTGATGTTTTACGTATACTCTGCTGCCACCTGAAGTAGGTTTTTGTTCACAAGTTGTTTCTGCTCTATTGCTCAACTTTTCTGGTATCTTGTGGCCCGTTAATCCTCTATAGGATGCTTGGAGGATCCATTTCAACTTTTAAAGACCTGAAGTGAAGACCTGGAATCTCAAGGTTTAGAAAAGTGTATATATACCAAATGAATTTCTACCTTGCAGAAATAGCATACATAGATGCTGCTGAGTAAACTATTTTTAATGTTCTTTACCTTCTCAGAGTGTCATAAAAGGCCCTCTGATTTTGGTGATATTCTCCTTGCATAGATTGATTTTGGGTTTCTGTGTCTGTGTGTCAAAAATGAAAATGAAGGAAAAATAAGATTTACAGCCTCCTGAAAATTTGCTTGTTCAATATAATCCCTTGTTATGATTTATTTTGGGACTCAATAATGTACACAAATAATTTTTCTATATCTTAATTTTCTTGGAGTTAGTTATATCCGATATGCTTAGCTACATTCTAGTATAAAATCTGTTTTGTAGATTCTCCACATCCTTCTGATTCAGTTGCTCTTGTGGCAAATTTCACATTTGTGGCCCGTGACTCCAAGACAGGAAAATCTGCTCCACTGAACCAGATCTTGCCTGAAACTGAACATGAAAAATTGTTATGGAAAGAAGCAGAAGAGAGGAACAAAATGAGAAAGAAGAAGAGAGCAGAACAAAAGAAGGATATTTATAATGGAGATGAAGACAGACTTAATGCATTGTTGGCTGAAGGGCGGGTTTTCTGCGACATGCCAGCATTGGCGGATAGAGATAGCATTCTTATAAGAGATACTTGTCATGAGAATTCAATGATGTGCCAACCACAGCAAAGGAATATTCATGGTCGAATTTTTGGAGGTTTTTTGATGCGGAAAGCATCTGAACTGGCGTTCTCAAACGCTTATGCCTTTGCTGGTGCAGCACCCTGCTTTTTGGAAGTTGATCATGTTGACTTCTTCAAACCTGTGAGTAGTTAGTACCGTTAAGTAAGGTCTCAATAGAACTTGCCAACAGCCACATGGCCTGTTGGTAGAGTGTCAGACTCTTAGTTCCAATGACCAAGGTTCAAATCCTAGCAGACTCAAGTATAAAAAAAAAGGTCTAAATGAAACTTTGCAATAGCTAACCTTCACACCACATACAGTGGGCCTTTTGTCCCTTGGATCTTGGTAGCTTGTCAGATATAGAGAGTGGACCTCGCTTTTGTGCAGAATGATAATTAATGTTGTGAGTAGTGGTAATGTTAGTGATGGTGGTGAAGTTTGAGCTAGGAGTTTCTCATGGTAAGATGGGACGATATTCTCATATTAGCTGCTTCAGGAAACATCCTTTTCTAAGTTGAATGTTGAAACTGTTGAACAAATAATTATAACTTTCAGAAGAAACTCATAAATGCAGTTGCTTATATGTGCATTTGAGCAACAGGGGGGAGAGAGAGTGCTTGATAGCTTGTGTCGGTATATACCCTACCAATTTGTCCATTATATAGAAAGCTTTGCTGAAATTTACTTTGAAATTTTACATTTTTTATTTATATATTCAAAATGATCAAGTAAACAACTTATTTATTTATTTATTTATTTTTATTTTTGGCTGATACAGGTTGATGTTGGAAATTTCCTCCGTTTCAAGTCTTGTGTTTTGTACACAGAACTTGAGAATCCTGCTAAACCTCTGATAAATGTGGAAGTTGTAGCTCATGTCACAAGGCCTGAGCAAAGGTCAAGTGAGGTAAGTACCTGAATTAAACTGTATAAGAATGAAACCACGATTGTAATGAGTAGTATAATTGTTAGCTAGGTTGAGCATGTCATTCTTCATGGTTAAAAGCAGCTTCACTTTCTAGTTCCTTGCAGGTTAGATCTCAAATTAAACTTTTTCCAACCCTTGGGGTGGTCAGTGTCTAAACCCCACCCTGTAAATGAAAAGAATGAACAAAAGAAATCAACAATATTGAATATATGTGTGTGTGTGTGTGTTCGCGTGTGATTATATATACAAATTATGGTAGGTATATATCAGTAGATTTATATAAAAGTTGATTCTACATATGCATGCACATGGATCATCTTAAATGCTCTGAAGGCCCATAGAAAACATAAAAAAATCTTGCCGGCAGCCGTGATAATTATAGCTAAATGTTTAATTATCTTCTTCTAACTTTTGAGTCTCGTTAGCCAGTTTAATTTAGTACTGTTGAGATTGGAATGCAGTATTTATCTTTGGTATGTGCTATGCAATTTGAATAGGTATCCAACAAATTCTACTTCACATTTACTATCCGTCCTGAGGCCATGAAAGAGGGATTGAGGATTCGAAATGTTGTTCCGGCCACTGAAGAAGAAGCAAGACGGGTTCTTGAACGTATGGAATGTGAGAGCTCCCAATAGGCAACAATCATGAAAACTCTGTCAAGAGGAAAGAATGACACAATCACACAAACCTATTGTTTTAGAATTCTATGATTTTCTTGATCCAATCTTAAGCATCCTGTCAAGAGCAAAATATATATGCTGTTCTACTTATTAGTTTGAATCTTTCTCTGTATCTAAAATCCAAGGTCGACAAGCAATAAATCCATTTGAGGAATATACAACAAACTAAAACTCTTTCTCATTGTCAAGATGCAATGATGGAATTATTTTCATCTTAATCTCCCGGAAACAGATTGATCAACTGCCTAGAAAAGCAAGAAAAATCACTAACTCTGAGCTCTTCGAACAAAGGACCATGTTCTTTGACCATGACCAATCTTTGCTTTTCTCTCTCTAATAAAAGAGTGCCAGATGAAACCAGGACCGTCCAAAGCACTCTCAGGCCTCAACCACAAGAAGAACTGGCATCTCTATCATTGATTTGATTGATCGATGCCTTCAGTTGGTTGTCCCCAGCACTCACAACTTGTTTCTCATTGATTTCCAGTACTAACAAATATTTGGCAGGTACATATCAAATCACAACAGATTCAACTTCTATCATTGAGCATAAACCTCAATTGAGTAACCAATTTATTTACAAGATAGATCTAACTTTTTTAGCTATACTAGTTTATTACATCCGGTATATTACACATAGCAAATAACTTCCAAAATCCTTTAAGCTAATATATTTAAGACATTACATTGACTGCTGCATGTGTATGTTGAGATTACCCACAAGCACATATTTGCATTGGCTGCTGCATTATGAAATGGGACCTGATTAGATAGATATAAGATTCGTGGATCAGGAACTTCGATGAAAATGATGAGATTTACCCACAAGCACATATGCAGATGTGAGACATTGATCAGGAACTATGATTATAATGATGATGATGATGAGCTTTCACCATCAGAGGATCCATAATTCTGCCTTACATTAAGTCCGGGAAAAACTGGGGGATGGCCAGGATTTGGCAATGGACGTGCCGAACTGTATATTGTTCTCTCATTGATCTTGGCAACTTCCTTGCACACCTGATCAAGAATAGAAAGGAAATCCCTCACAACCATAAATATCCTGAAGGGATGAGCTTCTTCTTTGGCTGAGTTCCCATGGAAATACTCTGTTATCTCCTTCACCATAGAAAGAGCAACTCTCTCATGGGCTTGGATCCTTACAATCTCTTCCTCTGCCTTCTTCAGGAACTCATTCATTGACTCAGAGAATTTGTGGCCACTGTCTTTCAGCTCAATATCTTCATTTAATTTTAGAACTTCTTTTATTTTAGAGATACCAGTCGCAAGTTTTGAAACATCAATACTAAGAACATCTGAATCCATAGCAGCAGCCTTCTTCACACTGGTCAGCTCCCCACTTAGAGCAGAAACAACTTGCAGACCAAGCTTCCTAAATTCAACATCATCTTGAAATTCAGATATCTGAATTTTTTCAGCTTTCAGATTCTGATTGGCACCAGAAAGGCGAGAACCTTCAGCTCTGATGATTTCCTGCACAACAAAATGTAGAAGTGTGGTTTTCCCATCAGTGCCCTTTACATCAACAAGCTTTAAGAGCGTGTCAAGCTTGAAGGCATGGGCATCGCCACGGTTGGTGCCAACATTCATGCGGTTCCCAGTTTTGAGGACTGCCTCCAAAAGCTTCAGAAACATTCTGCTGTTTCTTAACTCTCCACAAGCAGCCTGCAGAGGAGAAATAAGCTGCAGCAATTAGAGAATTACCACACAACAGTAAATGGAAATATTAAAATCCTTCATTTCAAACAGATAAAAGACCAGAATATAAATAGTAATGGTTATGAAAAAGACATTATCTTCATGAATACATGTGGCACACAGCTTTATCTAAAGTAAAATGGTGAAACAGTGCAATGTTGCCCCCAAAATTTTATTGAATAAATGTAGTCTTCATATCTATGAAGCTTGATTACCATAAGCATATTCACTTGTACTCAGCAGTCATATGCATTCCTACCAGAGAAGAAGATAATATCATGAAAGTTTTTCTTCTTTCGCATTTTTTTGGAATATTAACCAAATCTCCTTTATTAGTGATATTATTTCTGGCAACTGCATGGAATACTCCACACCAACTCTCATAGGATGCAGAGATTATGACCATTGAATTTTTTGGTAATAGCTTATGGGGGCCACGCATAATGAGTTAGAGGCTCTTGGATAATGCAACAAAATAGTGCACTATCTTGTGCCTATTGCAACATCATTACAACAGCCAAAGATGAACAAGCAGAACTGTTATCCTCTTAAACAGTAGGCAAGCTTCTTACTCGGAAAATCAGGAATATAGAGGTATACAATTGACTGTCAGTTGGATATATGACATAAAGAAAGAAAATATGATAGATTAATGAGACACATTGAAGCTCCCCAAAAGTTTCTTGCACTAGTAAATCTGATCCCCTAAAAGTAGAGAAAAAAGAAGTAACAATGAAGAGAAACAACTGACAACTCCTTTATTCTAAACTTGTTATCTTTTAACTTGCAGCAAGCTGCTGCAACTTTGTTGCTAACAGTCCTAATAGAACATGTTTTATCTTGAATAAAATTTGATTATGGTCCAAAAGTAAAAAAAAAATAAAAATACAAAGGTATTAATGATGAAGAATGACTGATATATACAAGATTCATAAAAGACATCTTAAAGGTTACCCAATAACCAGAAGCACATGAGTGCATACAGATGGGAAATTAAGACTTACCTCTAAAGTCTCAAAAGACCTTTTCAGGTACTCAATTTCAGAGTCAAAATTAGCAATGTAAAGCATTGCATCAACCCTCTTGAAGGCAAAAGGTATGTCCAGCACCGCCTTGAGGAATTTCTCAGCAGGACCTAGCTTAAAAGGGGATTCATCATTAAACTCCTTTAGCTTACGCTCTTCTTCTTTTGTAGTAGCCATCTTTAATAAGCTTTCTAGAAGCTCTGTCCCAAGAGTGTCTGAATTGCCTGTTTTCAGAGAATGAAGTTAATGCAGTTTAGAGGTAGAATAAAAGGTAAGGAAGGGGAGGGAAATGAAGAAACGATGGATGGGATGGTGAGAAAGAAAACACTAGGTTGTATTGGCTACTTTAGTTTGAAAGGCAATAAAGTATACAATTTTATTCTAGAAATAGCATTTCGAGAATTGGAGATATAAGCGCAACCATTTTCAGCAAAATATTTAACGCAGTTATGAATAGCATCAAATACACCATTATTTTTTCCAGGCCATTGCCATGTTAAACTTAACGATAGCCCTCATGAAGATGTATAGACAAATGGACAATAGATAGCAAATAGGTGACACCTCCAAAATCTGTCTCAACTCTCAACTGCAGAGGTTTTCTAGTAATCTCAACTCAAGGACAGAGAATTATTTCTTTACAAATGCTATACAAGGTACGGTTTTGACTGAGAGATGAGATTTTCTCAGTTGGGAAAGGCTTTTAATTTATCACCATCAAGGTCACAGCATAGCATCCAAAAAGTATATAATGAGTCATTGCAATTTATCCTTTTTTAATGACTGTTTGGTTTGAATATGGAACTCAAAGTTTTATGGTTGTGGCACAACTAAATCATTTCAAGCCTGGGGTTCTATGCATTAAAATGTGACTCTAGACTAGAGAGTATTTATCGTTCTTTTCCCTTTCTAGAAATCCATACAATTGTTTTGTCAAATATAACCCTCTAAAGACTGTGCCCCTAACTATAGGACCATTGCTTGTCAAAGATCTCCTTTATTGCTCTATCTTTTATTGATTCATTGTATTTGCCATGCATATGAAATGATTACCTTCCATAAGTGCTTCACAGACTTCATCAATAGTCACATTTAGTGCCCTCAATAAAATTGCAATGTTCTGAGACTTCTTTGGATCAAGCACCCGATTTTCCTGATTCACAGAAGGCAGAATCTGCCTGCGAACATTATCTTTGGTGGCCAAATTTGAATTATTCACCATAAACAGTGTCTCAATCATTTCCTCATTCAATCTGCAAGAACCATTATAGCATTCTACAACTTACCAAACACTCAAAAGTCTATAAACGTAGACATAAAATAATTAAATAACAAAAGAAGAAAATAAATTTAGAGATGCTCGTATCTTACTGGAAAGAGCTTGCTTTTATCTGATCCCACACCATGGCTCGATCTGAACTCGCTCTAACTTTATCCCAATGCAAAGGCTTCAATTTCGGTTTCGAGGTCTCTTCACTCCTCTCTAAGCCCTCGTTCTTCTTCAACTGCTCATTCATAGCCAAATTCTGCAACACCATTGGCCTGGAAGGTGCAACAAGAACCGGAGGCCCCCCAGAATTAGTTTCAGGAATAGCTTTTTCAGCTACTGGAACCTCCCAAAAACGAGGTGGAGGAAGGGGAGGAGGTGGTGGTGGCAACTTTTTAAGCACAACCCTTGATGGAGATTCCTTGTTCCGCACTGAAAAACTTGAACCTCTGTCCGGTGAATCCCTTTCTGAAGACGATGAAGATAACCTTGTAGATGAAGCTGAAGCTGAAGCTGAAGATGGGTTTTTTATTCTCACTGTATAGATAGGAACAACAGTATCTGGAGACTTGGATCTCTGACTCAAAGCACTTGAGTTCGAGAATGAATTTGAAGGTGAACAAGAGTTCGAATAAGGGTATGAAGCTGTTCTTGAGTTGAAGCTTCTACTTCCAAAGTTCTCACCTTGAAACTCCCTCCTTGAACTTGATCCTATTCTTACTGGGGGTGGACTCTCTCTTCTACCTGAAGACCCTCTCGGAGAAAAAAACTCCTCTTCTTCATCTTCAACATTGTTTTCAGAACTACCCATCTGCACATTTTGGAGAAGCTGTTCTCCACTTTGAAAAGTTTGGACTTTTGGCAATGGTGGCAAAGGATTCAGCTCCGGAGAGCCAAGCTTTTGATAAGGACAAGATGAAACTCCCAGCTTTATACCTCCATTGCTAGGAAGGGCTGTTTTTTCTGGGTCTACTCTAGGGTTTGCAAGGGTGCCTAAGTAGAGAAACTCTGAGCTGCGATTGGTTGAGACATAGCGTGGCGGTTGTTGCGGTGGTGGTGGAGGAGGTGCCTTTTGGGAGGCATCTGAGGGAGAAATGTTGGGAGGGAATAAGCGGAGGGAGTCTGAACGGGAAGCTTTGTCGTCAGAGGAAGTGCTTTGGTGGTTTCGATGGCGGAGGAAGAGGATGAGGGCGACGAGAGAGAGGATGATAGCAACAGCAAGGAGGGCGGAGGAGAAGGAGATGAGGAGGAGGTGGCGGCGGTGAGAGGCGGGGGAGGGAGAGTGTGGTATGAGAAGGGAGGAGATGTTGGCGGGAAAAGTTGGGAGTGTGGAAGGTGGCGGAGGAGGGGGTGGAGGGGAAGGTAAGGAAGGAAAGAAGGGACTTTGAGGGGTGGAAGGGGGAGTTGTGGAGAATGGATACTTGGGTTGTTGTTGTTGGTTGTGATGAGGTTGTGGTTGTGGGGAAGGAAATGGGGAAGATGAGGAAGGAGGGTAGATTGGTGGAAGAGAGGTATAAGGAAATAAAGGTTGGTGGAGGAGGTGCCGGTGGTAGTGGAAGGCAGTAGTGGCTGTAACGGTGGATAGAAGGAGGAGGAGAAGGAGAGGAAGGAGGTGGCTCATGGTAGTTGTTGGCATTACTGTTTTTGAACTTGAACCACACTCAAAACACCTTCCCAGACACTCACTCTCTCTCTCTGACTGTTTTTAACTATAACAAAAGGGTCAGAGGGTGAGAGAAGAATGTTCAAATTCTTTGATGAAAAGAGGTGAACTTTGTTGCTATAATGGGGTTTTCAGTTTTGGGGAGATGATTCAAGAATGTAAATGGGGCATAGTTTGAAAAGACAAAGCAAAAATATGCACAAGGACCAAACCAGACAACATGCGAGATCCAAGAAGGGATGTTTCAAGTTCCAACTCAAAGACAGAGGGAAGAGAGGGACAACATGTTGAGTTGAAGCAGGGAAAGGGAGAGAAATGGAGGAACAGTAGGAGCAATGAGAATGGCAGTTTAGACTTAAAACAGACACTTTTTCACCTCTTTTCAGAGGTGAAAGTGAACTGAACTTTGAGCAAAGCCCAATCTTTCAATGTAAAAACATGAGAATAGTCAACATAGATGTTTTAATATCTGTCTAAAAAGTTTATGATTGAAGTTCCATTGTTCCAGGCAAATCCAGGTTTGAGAATGGAGGGAGAGCAGAGGAGGAAAAGACCGGAAGAGGTAAGAGAACAAAGTTAAGAAATGTTTTTGAAGAAAACGCACAAGAGGTTAAAAATCTGACCGACAGACAGACATTGCTCATTATTGGGATTTCCATCATTTAATTTTCCATGTCTTGTGATTCTTGCAATTATATCAAATACCAAACTTCTGGGCCTGGTTAAAGATGAGCTGGTTACACCGTGAACCTGTGAACTATGATGAGGATGTGAACGTGAATCCACCAACAAAGCTTTTCACCACAGAAATTGTCACATTTGGCTGTTCACTGTACTGAAATCACTGATTCATCACATTTAAATCAGGAAAAAGAGTTGGGTTGGAAGACACTTTGGATGAGCTCACGCTCTCATTGCTGCGACTGGATATTGCAATCGAAGGAGTCGAAGACAGCATGATGTAATAAAATGGACATACTGTAACTGTACCATATTTTTGTCCAAAAAATCTATGAACACTCGAACTTAAACTTTGTTTTGGACATTTTGATTCTCATCCTTTAAAAGTTTCATTCATTCAATAATAATAAAGTGTAAGCTTTTTAATCGACATACCAATCTTTTAGAATATTTTTGTTTTAGAAAATATAGATTCGAATTGTTTTCGTGTTTATTTTTAAGGCAAAATAATCAAATCCATAAAACAAAAATTTTTATTTTTAAAAATGTGCATATACTTTGTAATTAAATTAGTTGAACAAGAGAAAAATTAATTTTCACTGTGTAATTCAATTCACGAGGAAATAAATAAATAAATTCAATTTGTTTACATGACTCAAAAAAATTAGTATTTATTTATTTTTTTATGTATTTTTTTTAATAATAGTGGGATGACTGGTTATTTATAACCGTAATTTTTTTTTTAACATTTCGTTGTCTTGAATGTTGGAATTTTTATCTCTTACTATTATAAATGGGATTTTTAAGCACACCTCCATAGTTTTTATTTAAATATATTTTTTAAGTAAAATTATTTAATAATTTTTATATTAATTTTAAAGTTTTTGAATATGAATTTTCAATAAATTATATAACTTATTCAAAATATATATCCAAAATTTTTTTAAAAATAATATTTAAGTTTAAAAAAACCAATTGAAAAAATATATCTTTCAAAATTTTTTAAACTTTCAAATATAAAAATTCAAAACTTTTTACAAATTTAAAATTTTAAAAATAAAAAATATTAAAAATTAATTAATTAACTTCATTTAAAAATAAAATTTCAAAAAAAAAGTGTGAAAGGGTGGGTGGGAATAGAATTCCTCTTGTAAATTAGATTCTTTTTAACTGAATTTGAAAAACCTAATGATGAACTTTTTTTATCTTTTTATTGACATTTGGGGTCAATTTCTTTCAAATTCAAACTTCTCTTATAAAGCCATCACTTTCGAACTAGTAATAATCCTTGTTTTGGATCATATATGGTGACTTTAAGTAAAGGGGGACCCTCTTGCCTTATATTTTCAAAAGATTATGGGAAATAGTACAATCTATGACATGAGTATTGGGAGTTGTATTAACTCTTTTTTATTATATTACTAATCATCTCTTCTCAATTAAGTGTTGAATCACATTTTTGTTATAAGATATGATTATAATGGTTGACATTATAACATGCTCGATGTTGATTTAAGAAAAAAATTTTGATTTTTAATAATAAAATTTTAATATAAATTATGTCAAAATATTTAATTAAATTAATAGATGTATAATTTTTTTAAAATTAAATTTTACTTTTTTAAAGTTAAATAAAATTCTTTTTATATTTTAATCAATTATTTATAATCAATAGTTCGAATTCTAACTCGACTTGTATATAATCAAATTAATAGAGAGTGATAGCAATAAAGATGGGAAATTGGAGCCGAAGGAAGTCATTTGTAGATATGATTTATTTTGGGGAAAGATTGTATTAGACAATCTGCAGCATTTTTCGTAATTGGTAGTGCATCTTTTGACAACCAAAACCAATAAATAAAGAGTTATTAGGCTGTGAAATAGTTGGTACAGTATTATTGGCAGACGTGGAATAATAACAGTTAGAGATGAATTTTTATTTGTTTCGAAATTGATTTAATTTTAAATATATAAAATTTGAATTTAATTTGATTCGATAATATTTTATATTTGAATTCGATTTGATTTAATATTATATAAAATTATATTCGATTCAATTTGATTTGAAAATAATAAAATATTATTTTTAATATAAATATAAAATTAAAAATATATTAAAAAATATAAAAATAATTATAAAATTAAATAAATAATTAAAAAATTATTTTTATATATATATCGAATCGAATTAGATTTATCTAAAATTTAATCTCGATTTTTTTTATACCACTCGATTCGATTCGATATTTGATTTTTAAAAAAATAAATCGACCCTAAAAAATCTAATCAATTGAAACCGTCCATTACAAATTTTTTTGCCTTCTCTAGCCATGGCACTTATGAAGATCAGTTTGCAAGCTGTGATTTATTAAAAGTACAACACGAATTTACGAGCCAGAGATTTAGCTCAATCCAGCGATCCCTTTATCTTTTTTAATACCTAAAATTTTATGAGTAAAGAAATTCACATTTACATCCTAATTGGAATTTTCTCTCACCAAAAAAAAAAAGTCAATTTATAATGCTTGCAATTTTCTTGTTAAAGAAAATAGATACTCCCATATGGTGAATATTACTAGTCGTCTCTAAAGAAAATTAGACAAAATAAAAATATAAATGTAAAAAATAAAAATTTTCTTATAATTTGATGATTCAATAATTAAGAATGTAAAAAAAAAATTATTAAATATTTGTTACTAAACATTAGCATTTTTTTAACGTTTGAAAACATTTGATTAGGTGATAATTAGCAAATTTTAATTTTAATTTTTTTTTTTAAAAAAGGACTGAATATTCATACCAAAGTTGATCCAAAAGATTTTTAAAGAGAATAAAGAGGAAAAGCACCAGGAAAAAGGGCTTTACAAGATTTGATTCTTTTATTTTTCGAGAGGAAAAAATGTTTATTTATTTATCTTTTAATTCTCTTTTTGTCACTAAAAAGAACGTGAAAGGTAAGCCTTTATGCCATAAATTCAGAATGTCGTGACTGAAAAAAGGCAAATGAGCACTAAACAAGCTAAGTAGTGGTGGAGCTGTGGATTTTTCTTTTACCTTCGGTTTAAATTTTGATCCAATAGTAGGTCCTAGTTTGCTTACGAAATTATTATTTTATATATTGATTGTAAAATATTTTATTAATTGAATGAGAATATCATCATGTACTTATTATATTATTATATAAATTTATTAAAAATATTAATATATTTTTAATTAAATTTTAATCATTAAAAATTTAATACTCTATCAACATATAAAACTATAATAATTAAACTTTGATCTTCGATGTATTTTATATAATAATTTTCCTTTTTTTTAAAGTTAATCATGGGTGTTTTCAAATTTCATTTAGATTTAACACACATTTTTTATATTGATTTAGTGTATTTAATATTTTACTTTTGAAATACTCTCTATAATAATTTTTTAATACATTTTTTTTTTTGATGGTGGGGTAGAATCTCCACTTTACATGACTTTCAATTGACCTCTTAACTACTAAGCTAAGAGGGGAAAGTCAATTTAATACACATTTTTTCATATTGATTTAGTGAATATTATCGTGTACTTATTATATTATTATATAAATTTATTAAAAAATTTTAATTTTTTAATTAAAATTTAATTATTAAAATTAAAATCTAACACTTTATCAACATATAAAACTATACTAATTAAAATTTGATCATCAATATATTATATATAATAATTTTATTTTTTTTAAAAATATAATCATATGTGTTTGCAAATTTCATTTAGATTCAATACATATTTTTTCATATTGATTTAGTGTGTTTAATATTTTACTTTCGATTGATCATTTATTGGATCAATTCATATATCATTAGAGTTGTCTTACGAGATTGAGAGAATTTAGCAACATAATTAACAAGTATGTAATAGAATAGGGGATTTAAGGGTACAGTAGAAACTTAAAATAAAAAATTTTACTTTTGAAATACTTTCTACAATGAGTAAACCAGATTGAAAAAAAAAAAACTTTTCTCCTTATCAATTGGGACTAATAATTTATGAGCATAAAATAATTTTTTTCATTAGTAATTTTTTTCTTTTTTTTTTTTATTTTCTCTTCTAGGGTAGTACCATTATTATTTAGTAAAGGAGTATGTTTTTTCTTATGGGATTCCTTTCATTAGAAAGAAGATGTTTCTTCTTTCTTTTGACTTAAGTTTCCCAAAAGAATTGTTGAATGTTAGGTGTATCAAACATATGCTAGTAAAAATATGGAATTTGTTATATATCCTATTGCAAGTTAAAAAAGAACATATTCTATAATTTTATGTGATAATTTAAACTTTAGGTCAAGAATCTTTTTAATCTAAAGTTCATATATCACATATAATATTGTTTTTTTAATGTAAAAGGATCTACTATTAAGTCTTAATTTTCTCCAAGGGAAAGATAATTGTCTTCCATCTTAAACATTTTAACCTAATCATTATAAGATTCAAACTCAAAAATTTCAAATTGGAATTTCAAATTCTACCCATTTGGGTGTTCTTTAACTAGTTATTTTAATTAAATTTCACCTTAAATTCTTCAATTTTAACTACTACGCTCTATGCACCATAGAGCATAATTTTGTTTTAAAAAATTCTTCAATTTCTACTTTTACCACCCTTTTTTGCTTTTATAAGTAAAAAGATAAAAGTTACATTTACATAAAATCAAATATTAATTTTGAAAAATAAAAAAAAATTCACTCTATAGATAACAAAATAGAAGAATTTACTTTCATATATGAAATAATTGTATTTGAATTGCATTTTTACTGCTCAATCATTTTGCGTACACCAAATAATACAAATTGGTGGGCTCCTTTTTGCTTATTTTGACTTGCAGTTTTCTCAAATTAAAGCATGCCTTTCATTGAATTTTTTTTCATTGTTTAATAAGAAAAGGGAGAGCAAGAAAAAAGACGTGTTTATTATATTCAAGAAATTCCTCATATATATATATATATATGTATTTATAAATGTTACTGAGAATTATGTGGGAAGTTCGGAAATTGTCTCCACTAATATCTTGTCTCATCTGCAAACTGGACAGACACAACATATGTCATTGTTCTTTGCGGAAATCTTTAAGGTTTCATTGATGGATACTTTCATTATTTTCCTAAAAAATCAATAAAATACAAAATAATAAATAATAAAAATATCAATAAAAAAGCTTAA